AACCACCACAGAAAACATTATCTATGGACCTCCACAGTTCTCACTTCCAAAGCATCTCCAGCCTGGCCAAGACGAAGGGTTGGTTCTACTGGGAGGAAGCAATAAGTATCTAGGAACCAGCCATGTAGGTCTTTAAAAGCCAAACCCAACACTTTGAATTGTACTTGGAAATGTATGGGGACCCAGTGCAGTACCTGCAGTATATATGTTACATGACTATAGCAACTCTCATCCTCTTATGTGCAGGGTGTTGCATTCTGTACTAATTGCTATCTCTGAGTGAAACAGTTCCATGTATAGTTCAGACACCTTATTTAATCATTACAGGGACATGAGTTACTGTTGCCAGGGCCTCCTGCTTCAGGCAGGACTGCAACTAACACACCTGCCAAGCTGGCTGACAGCCCCCTTGGCCACAGCATCCACCTGCAAATTCAGCAGTCTCGCAGAACTCCCAAGCCACAATTCTTTCCCCCCATCCACAATTCACAGTGATGCAGACAGAAAGCCAGTTCGTTTATGGACAAACAGCAACTTTAACTGTTAGGATTTGGCTTCAGTTTGTTTCATCCCACCCAGATTCCATAGCCTTCAGACAGTAGGACAGTTTTCTCCATTATCTCTGATCTGCCACAAGGTAGGAATGTATAGCTGGATGTTATTAGCATACAGGTAGTCCCTGGGTTAAGAACGCCCAGGTTACAGACAACCCATAGTTAAGAACAGAGCCTATTATAGCAAAATTCAAGTTAAATACACAATCATTCGAGTTAAATACACAATGGTTCAAATTCATTACACAATACTATTATACAGTATTATATAATAATACTGTTCTGGCTTAAATACAAATTTGACTTAAGAACAGACCTTGGGAATGAACTTGTTCTTAAACTGGGGACTACCTGTACTTGATGGTGCCTTATATAACCTCTCTCAGCATCCTCAGGTAGATGTTAAAAGAGTAGAGGGGAGATGACAGATACCTGCAGGAACCCACAAGAGAGTACCCACTAGGCCAACCTCTCCTCCCTCCATCAACTGGTACTGTCCACTTAGCAAATCAGTACATCTCATTCATCAACCCTTGCCGGCAGTCGAAATGGTTGATGGTATCTAACACCAGTGGAGGTCACGTCAGACCAGGAAGGATGCACTTCATATCCTGAAGAAGGTCATCCACCAACCAGTGCCATTGTCTGAGTCTGGAACCTGACTAGAAGAGGTCCAAATAATTTGGTTCCTCTAGAATATTCTATAGCTGAAGCCTCTACTCCTTCTCAACAATTGTCTCTAAAAAGGGAAGATTGGAAAACAGGAGGTAGTTGTCTAATTTAACTGGATCCAGAGAAAGCCTCTTCAGTACCAGCACATCCTTAAAGGAAGTCACTCCTTACCAATTATGCTCTGCTCTTCTGTGCCCACATCAAAGGCCTTTGTGTTAAAATATAACTGATCCCCTGTTGCACTGGGAACAATGAATATTAGTACATTCCGATTCTCATTGGCAATATTCTACTTTGGGCTGTGTTCTAACTAGCTAACTCAAGCAAGATGACAGCTCGTTCTCATTTTAAATCCTGGCTAAATAGTGCTGCTTTGTAGAGTCTTCAGTTCTATTTTGCTGAATCCACTTTTCTCTCTCTTAGTCTGGAAATCCAACCAACTCTGCCACCTCAAATCAAGAAGAGCACCATATTCAACCTGCATCCAATAATACTTCAGTGAGCCCTCGCCAAAGACATATCCAGCACAGAAGAGTACCAGGTTCAACCAACTTCAATCAGGTTCAGCAGCCAAGAGTCAACACAAGCCATGTGGGATCAAATATGCTGATTCTCCTCCTTGTTTTAGCATTGGCAGTTCTAGTCGTTAGACGTATATATCTAGCCAATGAGTATATATTTGAGTTATGAGATTCTCTTATTTTGAAGACCAGTGACTTGAATGTGTTATTGAAATGTTCTGTGTTGGGTATGTCATGAGGATTGTTTACATAAGATTACTTTTTGTATTTTCTCATTTTAAAACTGAATGCTAATGTACCTGATGAGGTACATTGATATTTTCAAGGAAGAAACACCTTGATAGTGATGTAAGTATGGATGATTAACAATCTGTACAAACTGACAGATTACCTGAAAAGTCTTTTGAGAATATTCTGCATTAGCAGGATGTTTAAGGGTGAAGGGACTTACTGCATCTTGCACAAGCTTTGATGGGTACTTTTAATTCACAGAGCCCCAAAATTGTGTTTTATGCCAACATGGATAATTATTCAAAATAGTAGGACAATAAAGATTTATTCATGACGGGGTTTCATAAATTTGAAATTTGAAATGTTTGCATAGTAAATGCTATTAAATTAATAAGGAACATTTGGTAATATATAGAAGGTAAATTTATTTCCTACATAAAAAATTCAGGTAATGAAATGCCGTAAATAGTGGGCATTAAAAAAGGGGGGGCCAGAACAGAATATACTTAACTTTTTACTTTTAATTGTCCTGAACTTGGAATAATTTTTTGCAAGATTTGAAGGTTACTTTTAAAATATTCAGTTGTGTATATTTTGCTTTTTTAAAAAATGGAGAAAAATTGTTCTGTAATATTTACCCAGACTTTATTGATTATGACTTATTTTAGAATTGTATATAATGCATTGAATTGACTGTTCCATGTGCCCGTTAAAAAATAAAATGCTTTTTGAAAACCCATCAGCAAAGCTAGAATATTTTCATAAGTTTATCTAAGAAGTGCTTCAGAAAAGCAAGTTTTATTATTATTTGAGTTGATCTAATTTTTATTTATTTATTTATATTTCAAATTTAGATATCGCCCATCTCACAAAAAGTGACTCTGGGCAGTTCACAATAAAACAGCAATAAATCTTAAAATACAATAAAACAATATAAAATACAAGCAATTGATTCCAATTAGGACCTAGAGATAGTGTTGTCAGCCCTTCAGAGTCAACCAGATCAGGAAACTGCCTCCACAGCATGACTAGAATTCTACTTTTTGAAATAGGCTCTGGGAACCCAATCTTGCAAGCCTGGCTGTGCTTCTCCTCCCCTCCCTCTTATATCTCTGGGAGTCAGGGAGGAGCCAGCCTGAGCCTCTTCCTAATTCCACCTCCTTTCCCAGAGCTCAAGGAATACTTTTGTCCTCTTTGTTCAAATACAATAAGTTTTGGAATATTTTCTTCAAGGCTGTCCCCTGGCTCTCTCCTCTGCCACACCCTCAGGATGCAATGAATTTCAGATTTGTTTAACCATTTCCACTGGCAGGAGGAATCGAATGGCAACGAACAGGACATATGAACAAGCATATTATTTATGAATAAGCAAGAAGTCTCTGGAATTCTGGTTTATCATTATCGGCATACATGGTTGCTGTCTCGAATTATACTTTGCACAAAGTGATCTTCCTTTGTAATTAAACGGAGTTCATTTGTACTACAATAGCATCTCTGGAATTTATGGAAATGGAGATTGAGACGTAGACATTTTGTCAGTGAAAGCTGACTTCCCCAGTAGGCATAGGTGTGTGTTCCTAACCAAAATGACACCAAAATGTCAAAACCTGCAGAATATCATGATGCGTACTCCACCCATTCATACTTGCTTTGCAATACTGCATGCAATCAGACAAGGAGCAGAGGTGTTTCGTGACACACATTTAATGACTTGACTGCCCCTTGGCCCCCTGCTGACTTCTATTTTTGGAAAATTACTCTGGGTAATTTTCAGTTTTGTTTGTCCCCAAAATACCCCCAGTCAATCCCTATAGCCAGATTAGAGCAAGCATGCACACCACCCAATTCAGCTAGCAAAGAATATAGCTTGATTTTATTTATTAAACATCAGCCAACATTGAAATAGTTAACTGGCAAAATGGAACAAAAGACAGGCAAATACAGGGAAAGAGAGACATGAACAACAGGCAATAATTTACATTATAGTTATTTATCTGGAGTCCTGGGTGCTCTCTGAGCTTGGTTGTTTGCTTGCAGATGTTTCATTACCCAACTAGGTAACATCATCAATGGCACTTATTTATCTATAAAGGTACAGCACTTTCCAGAGCCCTGGAAACAATACTGTGGGTAATTAGCATGGAATGGCCTTTGGTTGTTCATGTTTAATCCTTGAAGGTACAAAATAGGAGCAAGGAGCAAGGAGAAGAATTTAGTGGATGGGGATGATATATCCAATGCCTATGCCATTACTTTTTTTTTTATCTTGGCAAACACTGCACTGACACTCCAAACTCACTGCGTTTTTTTATACAAATACTGCACAATTTGGGCCTATTTTCCCATTGCAATCTGTTATCCTTCTCTTGCTGCCTTTCGTGTGTGTGTGTGTGTGTGTGTGTGTGTGTACAATATGTGTCTCTGTGTGTGTATGTGTCTTAAACTAATTTAAACTACAAATGAAAACTTTAAACAATAGCTGGAACAAACCAAGGCTTATCATGCAGATTTAGCCACGGGGACAGATATTGACAGAGAGAGAGGGAATGAAGGCAACAGTGGCTGGCTGGAAGAGTGAAGAAAAAAAGAGAAAACGACCTAAAAAGTTAGAAAGAAACGACTAACTAGGTCATTTCCAAGTTCCTATGAGCAGCTATTTTAACCGCCCCCCTCACCCCAGGGACGAAACGGCGTGCTCTCCACAGGCAGCAATAGAGAAACCTTCGGATGGAGCAACGTCCGTGGCGCACAAAGAATCAACTCAGGGCAGCCCTTAATAAAAAGGCAGGCATGCCGGAGAGCAGGGCGTACGGAGCTGGATTACGTCTGATTGGCACAAAACCTGGCAGCTGGAATCCCATCCCTGCTTTCCATTGGCTGTCGGCACCCATTTAGAACGCAGTGGAACCGCGGCCAGCGAGCTTTGCTTTCTTCGCGAGGAACGGCCAATCGGCGAGCGAGGAGGGGGGGGAAGCGGTCTGCGGTGGAAGGCGCGCGGAGAGAAAGCCGCGTTTCTAAGAATGGTCGCTCGGACAAATGCAACGCTTGAGAGATGCAGATAGTTCGATGTTTAAACCAGAGTGCATTTACACGTCAGGAGGCGGCTGGACGGAAGGAGGAGGGAGCGCTGATTCCCAAAGTATGCCGTATTTTGCGAAACTAATGTTGTTGATCTTTTGCGGGGTCCTTCTCGGAGAAAGTAGGAAGCACAAAAGGGGGAGATGGACGGAAGAAGCGGACGTGCAGAAAACAAGGCAAGGACAGCGTTGTAATTAAGTCAGTTGATCCCTTTTCTTCCCTCAGTTTCCCGCGACCGTATAGTGTGTATTTGCGGAGATCATTTAATACGTGTAGTTCTGCATAATAAGTTTGAAAAGAATGCACATTGTAGTAATAAGTGTGAGAAACACACAGGAATGCTTTCGTAGGAAATTCTGGATTGCTTTTATTACTGCTTTGTGGCAAGGTGTATTTCCACAGAAATGCAGCTCCTGGAGAGATGCGAACGCTACGAGCTGCGTTTAGCACAAGCGGCTACTGAGATGCCACCTGTAATCCTGCGGGATCGAGCACTGTTGCGGCCAAAGGTCCGAGAAAAAAAAATCATATATATTTCTTTAAGGCGCTGCTGCAGTTTAAGAAATTGCAGTTCGAATATTACTGTTTAGATCAGTAAGATTTATTACCAAATAAATGTGCAGCCCTGTGTCTTTCTGTGCTTAAATGATTGATTGCTGTGTATCTGCAAAGATTTCATTTGCAAATGAACTGATGAGTTTTTCTTTTTGTGAGTAATAATGATGGAAAACAGCTATGGAATAGCAAGAAAGGTCGTTAAATTTATCAGATTTGATGTCAAGGAAGCATGTTTATATTAGGGGGAAAAAATCCCAAAACAGCTGCAGCACACTTGAATACATCTTGGTCTTGAATGCTGCTATGCAGTGAGAATTGCTTCTTTTCAGACTATTTGGCTGACTTAGACCTTGTGAACCAAATTGATTTAGCAGAAATGTAAGATTTTTCTTTGCTTTCCTACCCTTCCCTCTTTTAAACTTCTCCACATTCAGTATGTGTTAATGCTAACATATTTAGTATTCTGTCCATAATGTCATGCACAGTTTATTATTCAGTGAAGTATGAAAAATGAGCAAAGCGATCCTTCAGGGGCAGCTTTTCTTGCTTCAGTGTGGCAGAGAAGGCACATTTCCCAGGCTTTTCCTACCTACCCACACAGCAGCCTCTGTAACTAAGCATTCTGAGCATTGCAGACTTGCTGTTATTTGGCCATAGTTATAGCACATATATGACATAGTTTAATCAGCATTTTTCTAAGCATCCTTGCCAAATTAGAGTTCCCAAGATACTTTGGGGGAAAGTCAGTGTTCTGATGAGCTTACAGGGTAGTACATGCTTTGTTTCTTCATGCACTGAGAAACAGCCGAAGAAGGACTGAGCAGCAGAGTGGCTGCTCCTGTGTCCCCCCAAGTAAGAGGAAGTGAACCCCCTCCCCCAAAATAAAAATACAAAAGAGGAGGCAGGTTGAGTAACATTTGCATCAGATATAATTTAAACAGAAACACAAATACCTCTCACCAGACAGTGTGTGAGCAAGAGACTAATACGTTGTCCTGGTGCAATTGGGGGCAACTTTAATTGTTGTACCCTTTTCTTGTGGCTCTTTGACTTGGACTTACGTGGTCTTGACTAGACAGATCTGGACTAGAAGAGATGCTTTCAAATGCAAGACTGTCCTCTATAAGCTGCTCAAATAGAGGATGCTACTCTGTAGAGTAAGACTTAGGGCTACCTACCAAGTTCTAACTTTCCCAAAGATTTCTTCCATGAGAGGATGGAAGATCGTGAGAGAAAGGAGGAGGAAAGAGACAACTTGGAGATGGCCTTGTAAGTGGCATTAGAAGTGCCCAGATGGCTGACTCTGGTTAATCTGTTTTTAAACTGCTATCAAGCTGTTAATCAATGGATGCATACAGCAGTGTTACTTCACAGGGTATTGGGCTTCATGAACCCTTCCTTTTCCTACTCTTTCAACTGTGACATTGGTTGGATGAACAAAGTTATATACTGTTTTACACTTAAACCTGTTCCTCTCCCAGGGGCATGCAAATACGGTGCTGCAAACTAGACTTTCTGTTGAATTTTACAGATAATGCACCCATTGGAGGCCGTAGTTGTACAAAAAGATCCAAAATTAATTGTTTACATTTAAAAAATTTTAGAAATCACAATTTTTAAAAAATGTATAAATCCTGCTCCCAAACTTCAGAGGTTTTGATCATATTTTAATGGAACAGATGTTTGGAGAGTGGTGATGTATACATACATACAATAAATGAAGAAGGGTACCTTCATTCAGTGCATATTGGTATAATTCTACAATTCTAGTATCAAATCAGTCCAGCTGTAAGAATCAGATATTTATTTAGCAAGATTACCAACAGTACCTAAGGGGAATGTGTTCCATAGCCTAGGAGTGATGCAGAAAGAAGCTTTCAGTATTTTTTCCTGAAGAACTGTTAATGCCTGGCTAGCTTCATACCAGGAGGGCCACCAGATTTGGGCTTCAAAGATCCAGCCAACTGCTAGATCTGCTGGCTGGGGAATTCTGGGAGTTGAAGTCCACACATCTTAAGGCTGCTCAGATTGAGAAAAACTCTGCTAGAGGGTAGATAATACAGGTAGTCCCCAGGTTAAGAACACCCAGGTTACAGACAACCCATAGATAAGAACGGGGCCTATTGTAGCAAAATTTGAGTTAAATACACAATGACTTGAGTTAAATACACAATGGTTCAAGTTCATTACATAATACTACTTATACAGTATTATACAATAATACTGTTTCGTCTTACATACAAATTTGACTTAAGGACAGACCTTGGGAATGGAACTCCTTAAACCGGGGACTACTTGTAGTTAGCTTTTTGTATCTCTTTGCTGCCATCTAGTGGTCATCTGGATTTTGTAACCCTGATCAAGTACACATTTGAAGAAGCATTAGAAGCACCAGGCTATTCATCTATCTAGTACAGTACAGTATTGTTTTTACCCTTACTACTGATACATTTAAATACACTGAATTCAAAGTTCATATAATTATGCCAAGGGCTTACACTGCCAACTTTTCATTCAGTTATGTTTAACTGGAACTTTTAGTGAACCTGTCACTGTATGTCTTTATTTGTATCAATTCAGGTAATTAATAAATACATACAGTAATTAGAAAAATGAGTCCCTTTGGATTCAACTTATCCAGTCAGTCCAATTATATAGAGAGGTAGCTCAGTGAACAAATTAAAGTTGATTCTGAAAAGGGAAGTTTAACTACAGATACAATTTTTTTTCCTTCTTAGCATTTTTCCCCATAGGTGCAAGGTCCCCCTTTTTTTTTTTTTTCTTCAGATCAACTGAATGTTGATCCATTGGTTGTGACAGGAATTGCCCAACCGGCTTGTTGCCTGAGCCTGACATCATGGGCTGAGAGAGGGTGACTGGCCCAAAGTCACCCAGCCAGCTTTCATGCCAAAGGCGGGACTAGAACTCACAGCCTCCTGGCTTCTAGCCTGATGCCTTAACTGCTAGACCAAACTGGCTAAAGATGTACAACAGTTTACAATTGTAGTTTGTAACTACAGATACAATCCTAATATATATTCATACATAAGGGCTTATTTTGCTGAAAAGGAAATGGATAGGATGCTGCTGTATTGGCCAGCATGACAGCTTTCCCTAATCTGATGTCCTGGAGATTTGTTGGTCTACAACTCCCATCAGCCCTAATGATGCGCACCATTGCTGTCTGGAGGAGGTCCAAGTTAGGGAAAGGCTACCACTGTAACGGGTAGTATCAGTGCATTCGGTCTTCATGTCTTCAATTCCTACACTTCCACTTGTGCTCATGCACAACTAGAGATCCAGATATATGATATTATAAGGATTTCTCCTATGCTATATTTTCTCTGCCTCTTCAGGATAGTTCCTCATGTTCCCAATTTAGCACAAAGGTACCATGTTGAGACTTAGGGCTGACTAAATATGCTGGCATGCTCTACCTTCATGATAACTTAATGGTCACCCCAGTCTATGGAATCTCTTTGCAAAGATGTAATTTCAGTATACAGTGGTACCTCGGGTCACGAATGCTTCTGTCACGACCAATTCGGGTCACGAACAGCACCGTTCGCAAAATTTTGCTTCCGTTCGCGAACTCCGCATCAGATGACGAACAGGATCCACGGCCATTTTCCCTGCTGTGACATGTGGTCGTGGCTTCCTGTAGGGAGGCGGACTCTCCCTCCAAACAATAACCGCCTCCCCATCCGCTTTCCTAGATCGGAAGAG